TCCAGCTCTACACCTTGTTTTCCCTATTTACTCTATCCAGCCTGTTCATGATTTTGAGAACCTTTATCAAATCCCCTTTGAGCCTTTTTTTCTTCAAGGAGACCCAGTCTCAACTTCTTCAGTCTATCCTCAATTGCTGATCATTGTCAGGCCGGCCACAGAATTACTCCAGTTTAGTGTCTTACCTCTGGGGTTAGCAAGAGGAACATGAATAAGATTTCTGCTCCTTAGCTGTTATTCTTGGTTTGCTGAAACAGTCCAGCAGCAAGTTTTGAGAAATTAACTAGTGTTAATTATCTGTTTTTTCCTCTTGGTACTTAGATTGTGATGAAACTTTGTGCCAATTGAGAGGTCACACTCTCCTTTTGCCCCTGAATATTTAATAACTTCATGATGCTATTAGTGTCTTTGGTGAAGACTGGTGCAAAGTATTTAGTTAATTCCTCTGCCATTTCTTTGTTCCCAATTATTTCCATAGCCTCATTCTCTCAGGGGCTTGCATTCACTTTGGTTTCTCCCATCCTTTTGTATATATTTAAAGAAGCTCTTGCTGTCCATCTTGATTTTATTTAAAAGCTTACCCTCAAGGTTTGCTTTCTTCCTTTTTTTTGGTTGTCTTTTATTGGTTTTTAAAACTTTACGAATCCTCTGGCTTACCACTAATATTGGCCATATATGTTTTGTCTTTCAATCTGATGCTATCTTGATACTTTTTTGATTAACCAGGTTGGCTTATCCCCTCCTTAGAATCCTCCTTCCTCACTGTAATATGTATTGGATGTGAGCTATGAACTATTCTGTTAAACATCGCCCATTGTTCCTTAACCACCTTTGCTGCTTCCCCACTCAAAGACAGCCAGCTCTGCCCTCATTCCTTTATAATTCCCCTTATTTGAGCAGCTGTTTCTGACCGAAGTTTCTCCCCCTGACACTGAATATTAAATTCTACCTTGTTACCATCACTGTTTCTGAAGGGATCTTTTTCTCTGAAATCATTTGTTAAACACCTCATTACGCATAACCCGATCCAAAATAGCCTGCTTGGATCCACAACATAATGTTCTAGGAGACTGTCCCAGATACATTCCATAAATTCTTCTCCATGTCTTCCTCTGCTGATCTGACCACCCCAATCTACATGGAGATCACAGTTACCCAAGACTAATTTACTGTCATTGTTACATACCCTTACTATCTTCTGATTTATTCTCTGTCCCACTGTCTTGCTGCTTTTTGTTTAATGTTTTATACTTGCTCAGCAGTTTTCATCTTCCATAAATATATTCTGCCATCCAAGCTCAAACCTAAAGTTGTGCCTAATGAGGTGGCAAAGGACTTGTTTCCAACTTCCATTTAAATCTGCATACAATCTGTCAGCACTGTTATGATGTAAATGGAACCATAAAAGAGAAGACTGGTCATGGTTGAAGGAGCTGATTTGAGGAGTTGCTATTTTATAAAGTGAAAGAGAGATTTTGCAGAACTCAAGTATTGCTAAAAGCGGGGGACATGCTATTGCAGCTTTTAACCTTGCACTCATCAGGACAGACACCCAAATACTAAGCCAAGAAGCCCTTTGGTTACTTACAACAGGCAGAGTACTTACCATGTTGTGTTTGCAAAGCTCAGGTAATAGCAGCCAACATTAGATGTGATTCCATGGTCAGCACTTACTGAACAATTCTGTGTGTCCCGAGAGTTACACTAACAACCGATTTAAGGTTTTCAGTCAGGCTCGAAGTGTGGATCACATATGCTTGCTAAAAATTAGAGATGTTCATACACAAGACCTGATCTTCTGCAAAATAAAGCATTTTGACCAGGCATCATGCCTTTTCAATTAAACAAAAATGTTGTGAACCCATCTGGACCAATCTGAGTCATAACTGCCTTTTCTGAATTTAGACAGAAGCTTTGGAGGTATCGCACCCTGTTGTGTACTCTGTGGTAATGCCTTGACCATTCAGAGTCCACTTGTTAAACAATCAGCACCCTTCTTCTGGTGCAATGTAAGTTGTTCCTTTTGAAATTCTTACATCTTCCTCATTAGTGCAAGATGTACAGCTTCACAGCATGTCTCTCTCAGCAACAAGAAAGGACTTTTGTAATGGAATCTCCAAAAGTGTAGAAGGTGGGGTGTGGAATAATTCTACAGCTTGGCCCATGCTAGTATTATTCACTGTGTTTCATTTCAGCACTTGGTTTATTTTCATACATTAATATAGTTAAATTACATACGTTAAGAGGCGATGCTTTGGGGACATAAACCAGTTGGACCAAATAGCATGTTTAAAAGTTGTAATGACAAAGTAACTGAACTCGGGCTGACTAACCATGTTTGAACATTGCTGAGCAGGACTCCTTTAGGCTGACTCCCATGCTCAATATTTTCTTTCTTTTAGACTCTTTCTGAATGTGAATGTGAAGAAACAATCCACAGTACTGATTCCTCACCATTACATTTTGATGCATATGCCAAAGGTTTGTGAATTTATATATAATTGAAAAGACTTCTGTTCCTAGTCTGTTAGTCATTAGGGAGACGCTAACTGTAGGTTACTACAACCAATTGTGTTGTCTTATCAGCCTACTTATGAGAGCAGTACTGATTCAGTGGTAATGATAACATTGAAATTGTTGTTATCCTTTCAAACTGGTGCAAGTTATATGCAAAAATCTAGAAATTTCCGTGATTCAGCACTATAGGCTGCAGTGTTGAAGTTCTTGCCCCACCCCAGCAATCAGTTAAGTAGAAATCACAGAATTTGCATAAGAAAGAACTGTCCTTTGACAGCATTGGTCTCACTAAAACATTGGAAAAGCTATACCGCACTGATTGAGAGATAGTAAGAACTGCCGATGCTGGAGTCAGAGATAACACAGTGTGGAGCTGGAGGGACACAGCAGGCCAGGCAGCATCAGGGTCCTGACCCAAAACGTCAGCTTCCCAGCCCCTCTGATGCTGCCTGGCCTGCTGTGTTCATCCAGCTCCACACTGTGTTACCACGCTGATTGGGGTGCTATTGGGTAGAAAGTTAAAAGTTACGGCTGAACAAGCTCAATAGTTCTCATTTTGTATTTGTGGAATATTATGATGAAAGAAAGGAAATTACATTTTAAAACATTTTTAAAAGTTACTTGGCAATTTCAACTTCTACTTTAAACCCACCCACGTATCCTAACCACTTGTTTTGCTTCCTATGAAAACAAAAAGATCAGTGCATTTTACTTCCAGCTTTATTATCTGTGAGAATACTCCAGTGTGATTGGCTGCTTACCACAACTGGTGACATCACTGTTGGTTTGCCACCAGATAAAGTAGATGGTTAGATAGTTGGAGGTATCTTTTATCAGGATAGATGGTGAGCACCACCTTTTTTGCCACTGACGGCAAAATTTGGGTTAATGATGTGCGAAACTGATAGTAATGATCCTTCTGCTATAAAACAACTGTATTGGTTTTTGTTCTACATCTATATTTACAGTGTTCTTTGCCTCATTTTTACACAGAAACTTGAGTGGAACACACTAGGTTCAAGAACTACAGTTCTTTTTAATGATCAGAACAACATGCTCTGTGCAAAGGAACTATGAAAGCAGTTAAGCAGAGAGATACTGTGTTGCAGCAACAGTGCATGATGTCATAGAGTAGACATTCAAGCTTGGAACTCCTAACAATAGAGAGTCTTTTCACTGTGAGGAAGGACAGCTCATCACAAGAGAAGGAAAATTATCAAGCCATCATTAGGCCATTCTATAACTTTCCTGTTGGCCTAAGTGCGGGATTAGGAGGGCCCTCATGATTGTCCACCCCAGACATAGATGGTGTGTGGAGCATTCCTTTTGAAATAAAAATTGCAGTTTTTAATTTTATTTGCTATTGTCCCTTTAAACTGTAGACATTGTCCCTTCATAGGTTTCATAAGTGTTCATCATGCAGTGATACTAAAATAAAAGACTAAACTGTATAAATATCACAAAACCAAACCAGACCACCTGGTCTGGTGTTGCTACCCGGGTTAAAGCAGTCTCAGCTATCTGGAGGAAAGCAAAGCACTGTGGGAAGAAGGTCAGTGACATGCGCTATTCTGCTGGGGTTAACGCTTTCTGATATCTCACACTCTGCTATCTTTACTACTTCACTCACCTCACAATAAGATTCCTGCTTTATCTTAACATTACCTGCAACATCTTTCCTCACCTGCTTCCACCTGTGCCAACCCCTGACACTGCTAACCCTGTATGCCCTCTGTGTTGCCTACTCACTCACTTGGGGGCACCTCCTCACCTGCACCAACAGTGATAGCTGTGGGACTCACTTCCATTTCCTGTTACAACCGCCTCTCTATCCTTCCACTGCAAGAGCTCCCAATGATGCAGAAAAACTTGAAAGCTGATGCACTGCTTGTTATTTGGCTTCTCACTCCTTATCGGGAAATGACCACACTGAGGAGGGCCTGGACTGGCATCTGACCCTGCCCTTGACTTACTGTGCCAGGAGCCCCTGAGTGAAGGCTATCTCCCTTGATTTGACCAAGACTTGTTGACAACTATGACAAACTTCTTGGCCCTGTGTCTGCACTGAACAGCATGGCAAGGCCAACAGTAATATCCTTGGCTGAGGGGGCAAAGCGCACAAAGGCAAGGCAATGCAAGACAGGAATGTCGTGAGCATCCATTTAGCTCTGAGCAATGCGCAGGCAAAGAGCCTGGAGAGGCAGGCTGCCCCAGTCCTTGTGCTGTGTATATGTCCCTGTGGAGTGCACGCATAGTCATCAGTGCAGCATCCAAATGCAGAAGTTTACTATAAGTGGATCAGAGGTGTGCCTTGAAGGATCTTAGGAGGTTGGCACGTGTTAGATAGCAGTGTCGTTGGATGCATGTGGCTGGTGCCTATGGATCATGCCCAAGATGTTGGTGCCCAGTTTCCAGCAAGGAGGTTGATTGGCACAAGTGGCTGGTTGAATATTCCAAGTGATCGTTCCGGTTTCCCTGTCAAGTTTTCTCAGCGTTGAGCTTTTTGTCAGGATGGGAAGCTATGCATTAACGGGTTTGACTGATAACGAGGCATTTAGCAAGCAGTGATGACTGTCAGTAGTGCTGCTGCCTAGTGAGAACTTGGCCACGCTGCATAAAGGATGGAACAAGTTGCTCCCAGTGTCGTGATGGGCCTTGTGCTTGATGCCTGATTTTCTGTCACACGTCTCGCCATAGCCCATGTCACTCGCACTCCTGTAAGATTCCACCCTGTATTTCACATCAATGTCTCATCAACAGCCCCAAAAACTTAGCTTCAAAGCAACAATAACTTGAATTAATCTGGGACCTTTGACATAATGAAACGCCATAAGGCAATTCACCAAAAAAACAAAATAGCACACTAAACCATATGAGTTGATTTAAGAGCAGATGACCAAAAGTTTCATCAGAGGTGGGCTATTTTGTTCAGGCATATCCTAAAGCAGGAAAGTAAGTTGGAGAAATGTGGGGGAGAAATTCCACTAACTGTAACGTTTGCAGCTGAATACAGGTTAAAATCAGGGAGCTCCAGATGCCAGAATTGGAGCAGCAAAGGTATCTTAGAAGGCTGGAGGAGATTACAAAGATAGGGAGGGGCCAAGCCGTGAGCAGATTTGAAAACAAGTACAAGCATTTTAATATTGAGGAATTATCTAGATGAGAGCTGAGCATTTAGCAGCGTGCACAGGGAGACTGATGTGTATAGAAATCTGGCAGCAGAGTTTGGATGTCCTCAGGTTTACAGAGGGTAGAATGTGGGAATCAAGTCCATAGTTAACAAAGGATGATGAATATTTCAGTAGCAGCAAAGCTGAGGCAGCAACAGAGATGGGCAGTGTTACAGAGCTGGAAATTAGTAGTATCATAGGAGCAGAGAGGCTGACGTTTCGGGCCTAGACCCTTCATCAGAAAAGGGGGAGGGGAAGGGGGTTTTGAAATAAATAGGGAGAGAGTGGGAGGCGGATAGAAGAGGGATAGAGGAGAGGATAGGTGGAGAGGAAACAAACAGGTCGAAGAGGCGGGGATGGAGC